ATTTAATGCAAAGCCTAAACCTTATGTATTTTTCCTCAGCTTATTCATTTGGAAATCAAACCAGCCATCAGGAACCAGATTATACGAGAGCTGCAAGTTCTACATGAGTGTAACTCGCCGTACATTGTAGGGTTTTACGGCGCTTTCTACAGTGATGGAGAAATCAGCATCTGCATGGAGCACATGGTTGGGCCAGTGTTGTTCTTTATGGTTCATTGCAGTGCTTCTCAAACCTGTCCTGGGGATCCCCATCATTGCACATTTTGGATGTCTCCTTCATCAGACAAACCAAATTTGGTTTGCAGGTCTCTCTGATGAGGTGAAACGGGTGTGTTGGATGATGGAGACATAGAAAATGTGCACTGAGTGGGGGGTCTCCAGGTTTAAGAACCACTGGTTTATTGCAAGAGTTTATAGCAAAAGTGTTAGCACACTGACATGTATATGTCCGCAGGATGGTGGTTCTTTGGATCAAGTACTGAAGGAAGCCAGAAGAATCCCTGAAGAAATTTTGGGTAAAGTTAGCATAGCTGTAAGTATTACCATCCATCTCTCTGTGTCTTCCAGATAATGCTGATTACAAATCAACCATACAAATACAACAATGACTAGTTAGTTATTGAAGTGGGCTAGTTTATTAAAAACCTTTTTAGGGCTGCCCTCTAATAGTCGGCTTAGAAGAGGCTTAGTCGACCAAGATTTTATTAGTCGGTTGGTCAAAGAAAAAAAAGTTTCACGCAGACAGTTAACGGTGGGTCCTTGTGGTAATTACAGCAAATCAAACGTTCAGCAATCATCCATTAACCTCAAATATGGCTTATCATTTGAAAGATGCAATAGAGAATTTACATGGCCTCTTGCTCTAACATTAACCTAAATGAATGTACACGTATCCAAGTGTTTGTGTGGTAGCTAAACTATATTTTTTCCTGATAACAGCAGAAACAACTTAAAATACAGATGAGAGTAATACAAAGCGTCTACTTTTATTTCTGTACACTCACAACAAAAACAACAAAAAGATGTGCTTTTGTGAAGTAAACAAAACAAACGTGAGGATTTTTCTCCAGTCTCTGTCTCCCGAACAGCAGCGTGTCACATAAATTAACCGAAACTCAGCGTATGGCGTGACGTATCGCCATTTGGCGGAGCCATCTTGACGGAATAGAAAACGCTAAACTGCCAGTGATAATCGTGATGGTACAGCTCGTCTTGAAATATTCCTGTCATGCCTGAGCGATGCTGTGCAGTTGGATGCGATCAGATAAGGAATATCTAAAAGCTGATCTTGTATTTTATTTGACACTTGTGTCTCAATGACACTTTATCATACTACAGTGACAGTCAGTGTCACTGTAGTATGATAGTTACAGTATAAATAGTATATACGCATATTTCGATTTTCTTGGATCAAACTAGATTCAACAAATTAATTTAAGGTGCACTTAAACTTCTTGGTGATTTTGTTTTGTGTTTTTCCCTGTAAACTCAGTTTAAAAATTATTACAGGTAGGCATATAATTTGGTGATAAAAATACATTGATCAACCTTTGTGGATTGAAAAATTCCTTCCCCGCTCGATCCATCCGTACTTGTGATACCGATAGCCGGCGTGATGGGAAGTGAATAACGGTAGCTGTAATTGTCCCCGAACTCAATGTCAGGAAGTTTGTCTACACATTTAATGCCTGTAAAAACAACTTGTGGTTCATATGGATCTATGATTCCTAATTCCTTGATCTTTCTCTTGTACTGGCTATTTCTTTTTGTGATCCTAAAAATAGATAGTGTTGGAGAAAAAAAAAAAACGATTCTGTTCATTATCGAGATATTTTGCGCATGCAATTATATCAATACTATAGGGCAAGTATTGCAATATTTAGGCTAATTATAAAAATAATTATACTAATATTTATGTTATTAGTATAATAATATGGCCCACCCTAATAATAGATCCGCCACTGAGTAGCAAACTCTGAAAAAAAAATCTATTCTGTCAAAATGGCTGACATCCGGCTAGGGTTCACGTGACTGGGAGATCCCTATACGATACTTGGCTAACACAGACATGATGAATGTATCTATTGAATGCTTAAGTGACAGTCAACCAATTCAAGTGGAAGACATTGTCAGATTATGTAATTCATATAAAAACGTGCATATAGGCGCATCCACTTCTGCGGAGATGACAAGCCAACATCATCAACAGTCAAAAAACACAGAACATTATTGTTAAAATGTTTAGATAGCCGCCTTGCTGTTTCATGACGCATTATTTTTGTGGCAAGCTTTATGCATTCACTGATTAGGCTATGTATTAAAGGCAATGAAAGGTTAATTGTTTTGATTTAAATGGCTTATTAATATACACGTGCGATTAGTCGAGTAAACGCTTAAATGAACGACTAATAGTCGACTTTAAAATTTTTAGTTGAGGGCAGCCCTAAATGTGTAAGCCCATTTTAGTGTTTTTTCTTTTTTCTTTAAATATGATAAATTTAGGATCCCAACTTCTTGTTGAGGGCTGTAACATGTTGGCAAAAATTTTTTTAGCCAGCTTTTAAGGTGTGTTTTTAGGTATATGTTATCCGATAAGTTCTCCAAATTTGCTACTTTTAACAAATTACCAAAACAGTTGCTTCAAATATGCTGTTGAGCAATGTTCTTGTTATTATGCATAGTCTGTTGGTTTTAATTAGTTTGAAACTACAATAGCTTTGTGCCCTGTTTGGCTATAGAGTTTACAATTGGTAGAATACATTTTTTTGTTTGTGTGAAATCTTTAATCTTATTTAGAGGCATAGTATTATATTGTAATACCTGTCATTTATGGTTTATCTGCCATAATGTGAAAATAATTACCGTCTTATTATCAGGGATAATTTTAATATTGGCACAATAGGGGATTATCACGCTGATACGTTGGACTTCCGGATTCAGTGATCTTTCTGCACTGCCACTTCCGTTGAATCACAGATCTCGCTGGCAAACTGATGACGGACTATACTAAGTTTATTTATACGGCATCCCTGGTAAATTAGTCTGATTCACTGAAGTGCCGGCTGCAAACAAACGTGCTACCTTGTTTTATTTTAAAGTTTTAATACACTTCTTCCTTATACTCAATTTAGTCGGGAATCCATGAAAACTTACGTGGGGTTGGCGGCGTTGTTGGTTAGATTTACAAAGTGGAACAGAGCAGTGACATATATAGCCTTAGTCTCAGCCATTGTTGAACTGCGTCGGAAGTGGACATGCACAAAGTTGACAAATCCCGCCCATGAAACCCGGAAGCGTGATAATCCCCTATTGGCTATTTACCTTTTTTTATGATAACTGTGTTTTTAATATTTGCATATTATGTAAAGTAATTGCAGTATGTTTACAGGCAATACACATGTTAAATGATCAAATTGTTGTGAAACGGCTGTAGGAATCCCTGAACTGAGAAGTGCAGAGGGCAACCTGCTCTTCTTGTTATTGTCTAAAAGCAGAATCCCAAAATTGGTACACAACCTCCATCGCAACATGTCTGGCACTATTACACGCCGAACCGCAATATAATAAAGCTGTGACCACACCCACGGATTTGCAAACTCCCTTTTAAGTCAGAGTCAGCAAAGCACGCACATTTTTCAACACACGTTTAGCTTTTTTTTTTCATCCAAATGAATAGGGTTAAACTTCTGTTTCACATTTGATCATGACAAAAAAAAACAAACACTTTAGCTTGAAGACCAAACAAAGGTGTAGAGATCTATTTATGTGTCCATAATGTTTAGAGCGCATGCATCTCAGCTTTCGGTAATCACAAAGCAGAAGTTGTTTTGTAAAGACTAGACTATGTTACACATTCTGTAAATTCAGGAATCTAGATTGAATGTTGAGCGAGAAACCCTATTGATGTTATCTTTAACTCTCAATCCACAGGTACTCAGAGGTCTGGCATATCTTCGGGAGAAGCACCAAATAATGCACAGAGGTAGAAGCATTCCTTAATAATATCTTAGAAAAAGTACATGTGCGTACACGCGCTGGATGACTGCAGGAAGTAGCCCCCTAATGCAGCTATTGAAATTGCATAATAAGCTTAAATTATTATTCTAGAGAGAGATTAGGCCACACTTTTTCAAAGGTATTTTCTAAAACCATAACCAGAGACCTTCACCAAACTGCTAACCTGAGATTAAACAAGGCAAAGGTATTGCAAAAGCTTATAAAATTCCTTTTTATTAGCTAAATCTCAGTCTTCTACAATTAATTTTTTCATCACGACAGGCATATTTTATTCCAAGAAGATCACCAGTTAGAGTTGAAATATATTCAATGTTTTCAAGTGTGGCGCAACCAACATTTGAACAATAATTCTATGTCTGAAGATGCAAAGTATCAGATTCTCTATGAGGTTGTATGAGGGTCTGGAGGAGCCACACTGGGCTTGACAGAGGGTCAGGCCTATAGTTGTGCTGTTGTGGCAGGGAGCGTTTGCCTGCTTGCAAGGAGCTGTCGTGGAGCCCAGCCGGTAATTACAGCCTCTCGGATGTGATTACATGGCAGCCGCACCCTGCACCCCCCTCCCTTCTTTTTCCTCTCCCCCTCTCACCCCTCTTTCCACTCCTAGTGGGTGTTAGGGCTGAAGGAGGGCTCGTCATGTGTGGAATCGTTGCATGTCCACACTGTTATTTACTCCTCTTGCCCTGTGTTTAAGAGGAGGGAGGTAGAAAGTGGCTTGCATGTCTGTCCTTTCTGCTTTGACTTTGTTGTCAGAGTTTGCTTTGCTGTATGCAGAGCATTTTGCAAAATGTTTTTGCTGGGCGTGCTGTAGAAAGGGTGTTTGAACGGAGATGAAAAGCCAGGTGGTGCCGCTGGGATTTGGACCCCAGCCCTCCATCTTACTTGGTCTCTCTCTGGTCCCTACAGACGTTAAGCCCTCCAACATCCTGGTGAACTCGCGCGGCGAGATCAAACTGTGCGACTTTGGCGTGAGTGGCCAGCTCATCGACTCCATGGCCAACTCCTTCGTTGGAACACGGTCGTACATGTCGGTGAGTCACCCTCCCTCTTCCCTCTCCAACCCCCAGCCCTTCTCGTTCCAAGCCCTGAGCCTGTGCCCAGGATTCTTCCATGTGGAGAGGAGGAAGTCGCTGCCAGGTTTTAGCCCACTACTCCTGGCCACCTGCAGGGTGTGGTGCCCCACCCTAGTAGAGCCTTGACTTGCTCTGCTCTTTGCCTTGACAGCCGGAAAGACTTCAGGGCACGCACTATTCGGTTCAGTCAGACGTGTGGAGCATGGGCCTATCATTGGTTGAGCTGGCTATTGGACGCTACCCCATTCCCCCTCCTGATGCCAAGGAGCTGGAGGCCATATTTGGCCGGCCAGTGCTGGACGCAGGTGGGGCAGAAGGCCACAGCATGTCTCCGAGACCCAGGCCTCCAGGACGACCTGTTAGCGGTAAGACTGTTTTTAATTTCTCAGAACATTTTTGAAAATTTTGTTGTGGGGTAGATCCATACTATCAGAGACAATTTACTATCCATTGGATAATTAAAGAAATGTTTTAGTCACCTAGCATGACATTTTTGGGTTGCCATAGTCTGCGTAATATGCGTGTTTTAGTCAAGCCTTGCAAATTGTTTTCCCCCAGGACACGGATTGGACAGCAGGCCAGCCATGGCTATATTTGAGCTACTGGACTACATTGTCAATGAGGTCAGAGGATTTGCTTAGCATGCAACTTGCTTCCTCTGTGCTTATTTTTGCCTTTTATATTATTTTTATGTAGAAGTTTCTCTTCAATATCACCAATTTTCTGCTCCCCACCTGTCTCTTCATCTGCAGCCACCACCCAAGCTGCCCCATGGCGTCTTCACCATGGACTTTGAGGAGTTTGTGACAAAATGGTGAGCTGCTGTATGGTTTTATTGAACAAACCTGCAGAGACTAATTTGTCATCATTGTTGAACAAAGTGGCATCTAAACTATGGCACGGTTGCAAAACATTAAAAGGGCCGTAGTACAGACGTGTCCAATTTCCTGCAGATTTTAGCTCCAACCTTCCCTAACTCACTTGCCTGGTACCGTCTTGTAATTCTGAAGACATTTATCTGCTGGTTTAATTGGGATTGGAGATAAACTCTGCAGGATAGTGGACCTCCAGAAACAGGAATGGGAACCCCTGCTATTGTACAATGCAAGTTTGAAGCTGGACTGCATTGTACAATCCCACACCTACTTCCTCCACTAATTTCTTGTCAAACTTTAATGACTGTATTTACTTTAAACGTTCAGTTGGACTGAAGAAATTATTTTTCCTCATGTTTTCCAAATGCATGCACTTTAGTCAGACTGAAATCGTGTCTGAAATCATTTTGTTTTTGCAAATTCGGACAAACATTTCTTGGTAATGTAATTTTACCTTAGTTTTTTCAAGCAGAGTCAGAGTATCTTTATTTGTCTCCCTAAGGAGAAATTAGTCTTTGGATAAAGAGATTGCTGCATAAGGATTACAACAAAGACAAAACACAGAAACAGTTAAAAACAAAGAATACATAAAACCTTGTGGCTACTCAGAGAACTGTGCAAAAAAGCAAATCACCAGTTTCTGATTTCTGCTGATGCAAGAGTGATATCCCAAATACACAATATACAATTGTAAGGCTAAAAAATAAAAACAGTTAAGCACGTGCAAACATTTATCTGACCGCAATTTACCCCGGTGTTTTGCTCTTACACCAAAACAAAGAGTTAGCTATTTAGTCCTTCAAAAATTAGATTACTCGCACTGGCAGGTTAAGATGGTAGCTTGACCATGCAAAAAAAAAAAAAAATCTGAGGATTAGAAATAGTAATTGTAAAACTACTTGCTGTCCTATCAAAGAAAGACAAAAAGGCACAAACTAGAGGAGACTTGTTTTTCACTTAAAAACCCTAATACCTCTCTACAGATTTCTGGTCAAATCTTTTGTTGATTTTGGATTTTTAGTTTGTCTTGTGTGTGTGTTTGACAGCCTCATTAAGAACCCTGCTGACAGAGCTGACCTCAAGATGCTAATGGTACGTACATTTGCCTATATGGTAGCCGTAAAATTAATTTTTATCATCTGTAAAGTGCAATAACATGGTTTGAGAAGGACTTGAGAGCTCTTTGGAGTGACCTCACACATAACCAGTAACGTGTGTTTGTCAATTTCTAGCCATGTTGGCGATTAGCACCAGTTAAGACTTGAATTTGAAATGTCCCCCTCCCACTCATTACCGTATTGCCTGTTGGTACTCGTAACATCAATATCATGATGTTTTGCCAAAGACTTCATTACAGAAACCAGTACTTGTAGAAGTATACTGAGGCAGGATCTATTGAAAATAAAATGCTCTGCACCAGAAACTACTCATGGTGTAATTGATCATGTGATGTTCAATTGCAGGGCCACACATTCATCAAGCGGGCTGAGGTTGAGGAGGTGGATTTTGCTGGATGGATGTGTAAAACGATGGGCCTTCACCAGCCCAGCACACCTACTCATAGCGCTGAATGAACGCTGGCTCACAGCGTAGGCACTCATGCCATCCTTATCCTCCGCTTTACTTCTTCCTCTCTGCCCTCACAGGCTTGTAAGCCTCTGACACACTATTTTGTGCACTCTTTCTCTCAAATTCTCTGCTTGCTCTTCCCTTCCGCTGCAGTGTGTTCTGGGGAAATTGTTTTTAAGAGCCTCTGGTGTTGGAACACTTAGTCATTTGAATGAATATGGAGATTAGAGTCACTTAAGTGGAGTGGCTGTATTTTCAATGATCAGATTATTCAGGAATGTTTCAAAAATGGTAAAAATGAACAACAATTTCATTTGGGTTTTTTTTTTCTTTTCATTGACCATTTACTAAGTCATTATATTATTTTGTTGCTCAAGTGATATTCATTGACCGTTTGTGTTACACTGTCAAAATTGATAGCATGGTTCAATGGCAAAAAAATTAATTATGAATCAACTGCTGTTTGCATCTAAAGAAAGAAAATAGGGCTACTGTGGATCATACAGGTTGGTTTATAACAAAGGTGATTATTAAAAATGCAAGATGCTCAAGCGCATTTGTACAGGTGTTTATCTTGTGCATTGCGGACAGCAGTGCTTTATAATCTGCTCAACATTGGCCTTTAAAATGGTTTCATCATGTCTTTCTACAGTAAGTTTGTCTTGTTTGACTCATCTTTGTCACCAGTGCTTGAACGGGTTTCTCAAATCTTGCTTTATTTTTCAAGTTAAAATGATATACAGAAGCTTATATTTGGGAAGATTTGTTTATAACTTATGCTTCAATGTTATATATATATATATATATATATATATATATAAACCTAAAATTTCCTTCTTTTGATTTCAAGTTTTGAGTACACCTAGGGTTGCACATAACTTTACTGTGCTTTTCCTTGAGCCCTACTCCAACTAAGCCCACAACTGGTAAAATCATAGTCTGTTCTTCAGTGATAGATAAAGTGCAAAGTAAACTCTCAGGCCACCATGTACAGTGCTATGCAGATCAAATGAACCTCAGCAGATATTGCCGTACTAGTAGGTCTTATAAATACACGGGTTACAGACACGGGTGTTCACAGGCATTGCGGAGTGTGGCTAAAGCCCACTTGCTCTAAATAGCTTTGTGTTTCAGTTTTTCTCTCTCTAGTACTTTTCAGTAATATTGAAACTGTATTATTCACACACTGGCATTTAGCTCAGACCAAGTGAATGCACCACCACACTCGCGTGTATCAAAATATATGTAAAGTACAAACGGTACTCATTTCAGTCTTAAATTTTTTTGCCTAGTTTAAATAAGAGTATATAAGTCATTTTATTACCATTTGGAAAGTGTTGAATACAGTTCTAATATAAAAATAAAACTTATTTGTGAATGATTATCCTGCTGTAGTTGTTGTCAGTCTTCTTCGCTGTTTCTTTTAAACATTGAATCAAGTTTTAATTGTCCCTAGTACACTGCCCTCTATGGTTGGTGTGTGTTAGTTCATCATGCTCGTCTCTACTACTTAATACTCCAGCATTTAAGCAACTCCGTGTAATACACAATTACACTCTGCGTCCACTCCCTGTTTCACGGGAGAGTCCTCAATTGTACAGTCACTCTCAGAGAGGTCATATACTACTCCTCCTGTTTTTGAGTAACTCAGTCAAGCAGCAGGTAAACCAGCGAACAAGTCTTCAAGTGGTGGAGGATAATCCATGTCTGTCCCGCTGTTCGATTACACTTATCGCTTCTCTCAGCATGATTTTGGTAAGTATGGAATCACAGTACGCCTTTAGGTGTTTGATTACTTTTTTTAATTGCTGTTTAAATTGAAAAGTTTGTTGTTAAATGTAATCGGAGAAGAGGTGTCAAAAAGGTGTAGCAGAGAAGTGTCACTTCTATCTGACGACTCCTTGAGAGTAGGTACACTCTGTGAGTTCTATTAGTTTGAAACAGTGGAGGGTGTGTGTATATGTGTTACGGGGGGGGAACTGCTGGCAGACCCTGAGTGTCCTGGAATGTGCCATGGCTTGTTCTGGGGTGGGACTCTATGACCTCAAGCAACGGGATGGGTGGGTGCGACTGCATTCACACACACAGGGGAGAAAAAGGACGGTTAACACTCATTATTTTGGAGCGCACACACATCCAAAGTACATGTGCAACACCCCAGCAAACAACTTTGTACAAATACAGGCCGGTTTTACCAGTGACATCCTAGTGAAGTGAACTCTACTGTTTTGTTAATATCATAAGTGATGGTGGCCACTATGGCATGATAACAGCCTTTTACTGTATTCCCCAGAGAGTAGCAGAGGAGAGCAGCATGGGGGAATGCTGTTTCTTTAAGAGAGAGGGAGAGTGAGAGAGAGAAAGGGAGGGACCTTTTTGCCCTCCAGAAACCAGGAAGGGAATTGAGTTGATCTGCTGGTGCTTGGTTAGCGCATACAGAGCTTTAAACGGCAGGGACAGCTAAGAGAGAGAGAGCTCCACAGAGAAGGGAAGAGCTAACCCATAACAAGCACCGCCACGGCCATCACAGGTGAGCTCGTTTCCCCCTGCTTATCCCCCTTGTCGTCTGCCCAGGGCCTATCGACCGAAGGGAGCAAGGCTGAGGAGGAAGGAATGAGGGAGGGGGACTGAGAGGAGAGAGAGTATGTGTGTGGGGGTAGGAGGGGGCTCTTGTGCCAATGAGGAATTATTTATCCTTTTTCTTTGATCTTCAAAATAACTGCTTTAGAACATTTAAGTTCACTGGCGTTGCTATAATAAACTTTTTTTTCTATTCTCACAGTTGGTAACTTGTTTTGTTGTTGTTTGAGGCAGCACTTAAGGGGTGTGTTTGTCGAGCTGAGAAGGTTGTAGGAAGGAACCAAAAATAATTCTATAGGACAAGGTACGGTGTTGCGCACTAGGGTCCAATTTTTTATCCTCCGTGTCATTCATTCAGAACCAAATTCTGCTAACTTGTGCATAAACCTTTGGAATTTAACGTTCAGTCTTGAATTCGTTTTGCACTGGTTATAGCTGTGATAGAATATTTTAGTTTTAAAGAAAATCTCCACTGGGTTAAGAATACCAAATATTTTAGATGGTGTAGAGTGTGACAATATCAGTTTATTGTGTTGAAGTTCCACTCAGTTGTGTCTGGATCCCTTTGTCTTTTTTCATACGTACAGAGCTTGGCACTGCTTGTTGGCTGGTCTGTACTTTTAATACCTGGCATCCTGCTAGCAACACACGGTAGTGTATAATTCAGCTCTGAATGCTTACGTTGAAGCAAGCTCTGAGATGTGGGGGTGGCAAGAGCAGACTGTTTGGGACTTGTAGTTTGTAGCACTGGCCTGGAAGCAGGTGAAGTCATACTAAAAGACTGTGCTTCCCAGAGTGCCTTGCCTTTGGCCATACAGGAAAGGGAACAGCCAGTAGCCTATCCTAGTGGGGAGGTGTGGTGATTGAGAAGCAGGCAAGCCAATCACAGAGAGGGAAGTGAAGCTAGAGCAGTGGGCTGAAAATAGAGTGGGGGAGTTAGTAGGTGTCTGACTGTGTGGGATCAGGCAAGGGCTTGCCTATGTAACTAGGGCCACTCGGAAGTTTCCTGTCTGCAGTTTCTCCAGAGCAGAGCCCTGCCCAGGCACAGAGGCAGGCAGGCAGGCAAAGGGAGACGGAGCTGACCCACAGGGAAACAATTCCTGCCGGCCGGTAAGAGCTCCAAATGCACTCTCACTCTCTCTGGTGTCTGAGACTGGAAAGGCAAGCTAGAAGAGAAATAATGGAATCTTAAAAGGGGAAGAGAGGGACTTGGCTTGATTAAGTTCAGCGCGCTTGACCCACTTACAAATGGCATAGAGATGAAAAACGGAGGCCTTCTGTGTTAAGGTATGACTTGGAAAGTGAAACTTGCTGCACAGAAGCTTACCAAGTACTTTCTGACTGAACTGTCATTTGGATTCTGATATCTGATGGTTACCAATTGTAATTTTAATAAAGAAAATATTTTTGAGCAGATGCAAATTGGTATTATTTATGTATTGGTCACAAATGGTTGATGATTGTGGGTTTGACAATGGCATCTCTGGTTAATTGTGAAACTATTTTAAATAAACATAAATGCACATCAAAGACAACCTGCTCAATGAGATCTCTAAGAACCTTGGAAAGTTTTTCCTTTCCTCTTGGCATATCCCTTGTAGGCGTCTCTGCCCCCTTATTATTTTTATAACTGCCATAATGCACATCAACATCTACTACCTTGGTAAGGGTCTTTCGCAGGGTCTCATGACTTGTCCATTCAGTAGACTGCATGTTTATCCTGGACTCAAAAGCGTTGTAGGAAGCTGCATTCTCTTTCGCTCTCTTTTTTATTCAAAGATGTATGCAGATCATTTCCATCCCATACTTGCTTAACTCGTTTTCACTAGTGCGGGTACAGGGAGGACACAAGGGGTATTTTTATTCACAGATGACGCCCAGTGCCTGAATAATGCACAGACAAGGCTCCTTTTCTCACAGGGGTGAGGCCGTTCTTTATTGTCTTTTGCTTGTTTAAGAGGCAAAGAGATTCTCACCCACCATAATCCAGTTAGCATTGCATATAGTTAAATTACCTGACAGGGCCGTTTCAGGTCAGCATTTATGACAGGTGAGGCATATGTGAACTTCATGCAACACACGTCAAGCAGTATACTTTTGCAGTAAACTTAATGTGTTGCTGTGTTCATTTCAGTATGTCTTTTAATATGTGGAAGTTCAGTTTTTTTAAACAATTGACTAAATATTAGTTTTGTTTGCATTTAAAGTTTCAATTGCTACACTCTTTTGCTCTTTTAAAGTTTTTATGTACTTACTTGTATGAAACATTTGACTAGCTTTTGAATGCTTATGAAATACAAATTTTATTTACACAATCCTTAGTTTTACTTACACAATCCTTTAGAAAAGTTAAGTGAAATCGTGATCTGTTGTGAGGACATATAGCATCTGTTTTTGTGCCCTTGAGCACAAAACAGTAGAAGTTACCAGGAACTACTGTTTGACCTAAAAGTATAGTTCATGCTGAAGTAATCTTTCAGCATTTTGAAGACACTTTGAATTGGCTTTCTGGATAAGGTTTAGTTTTATTACGTTTGGGGGACAGTGTACATTTGTAAAGCATTTTTGAAGTGATTGAATTAAAGCCTGGGAGATGGGCTGATGCAAGCTAGCATTACTATCGGTAATCAGAGAGCTCATCTCATTATTCTCTCATTGCGCTCTTTAAAGGGCCTTCTTCCACTTGTCCTTATCTGCTTGAGAGTCTGTCGACACAATGAGTGAGGCCTTCTTCTTGGTTTTCTTGACAGTAAAGTGGAATCCAATTGCTGTAAGTTTATGCTCTCGCCCCCATTCTCAATTGTGGAGCTCGACCTCCACTAGATGGAGGAGTCCTTGACATACTTACCTTAGTGGTATTGTTCAGAGATATGCTGTGATGTAGAGCTGAAAAAGAAATCCTGGGTGGGTTGTCATTTCTTTTTGCCGTCTCAGCAGAGGCAGAAGAGGGAAGTGGAAGCTGTGGTAGACTGGTGGTGGAGTGTGCAGTGCAGTGTCTGGGAGAGCTGGTCATCTGATAACAGAGCGGGTTCTGTTACACCATCACCAGAGTCACGCAGGAAGTCTTCTTCCGCCCAACCGGCCAGGCTGCCGCAGCAGCAGAGAGCTTGAGACACGAGCTGTGGCCTCAGTACAAGGGCACTGGAAGGGCTGGAGTAGTGCTGCCGCCATTAGACAATTTAGTTTCTGTTTCACGTGTGGGTTTGCATGCTCTTTCCTTGTTTTCTGGCCTGGCCACCGATGGCCCAAAAGATTCAGGAGTTGTGGGCAGCTCAGAGACAGATGCAGGGAGTTAGGCCTGGAAAAGTTTGGTCAAACTATGAGGGGGCGTCGTGGCATTTTCACACATGGGCTTCATCTTCTAACAAAGCTGCTGCTGGTCTAGAAAGATTGGAGGCACGTTGCTGCATTCAAATTTGGGTCTCTTGCCATATCTGCTCTACCTTTTGCTGTGTGCCCTATTTGATATACATCTGCATCTAAGTCCTTTAATTTCACAATATAAAAATAACAGTTTGCCTGTACCTTTTTATTGATCTCATGATATGTTTTGAAAAGAGGGAGGTAATTTAGTGTCTATAAAGGTTTCCAGCGACTAAAGCAAAGTAAAACGAGAGTTGCACTAGCTCAAAAGATTGTGTGCACGTGCTTCAAGCAGTCTCACCCAGTACCTTTTGGGGGGCATTGTGCATACAAGTCTGTATTTTTGGCAGCCTACTGACATTTCTCCAGTGAAACGACCCAGCACTACAGCACTAGTTTTATCAGTTGTTCGGCCACTTCCTCCTTGCTCTTTTTGCGACCAAACAAGTTTCCCTAACTAACGCTGGCAGGAGTGACTCATTTGCAGGACCTTGCTCAAAATCCTGTTCTTCTTGGAACAAGTCAGCCCCTCTCCATACTGTTTACGATTATCCGGTAATATCCTCTCTGGCTTGACCTTGAACCCTGTCAACCTAGTCTAGTGACTCCCCTTCCCTCCCTTAAGAGGCAGGAGGAGCTAATCTCTCACACACTCACTCATTTGCTTCCACATACATACTGAGTATACATTCATGTTGCAGGGATGCCCTGTGTACATAACTCACAAGTTTGTCATTGATCCTAATTAACTGATCCTTTCTAAGTATTCCCAAGCTCCCATGAAATGCACATTTAAAGGTGTGAGGCTATATTGACGAAGAGAGAAAGTTAATAGAAAGAGACTAAAGTGTTTTGTGAAACCCTACTGCTTGTTTTGGTTCATGTCGAAAGTCAAAGTGTTTTCCTGGAATGCGTGGCATGTGCTTGCCTTAGATGTTTCATTCTGAGGTGTCAGTTTTCGGTTCATATAATGAGCAAGTAGATTTATCGTTTGCTGTCTTTCGCTGGATTAATTTTGTTTTAGAGTTAGTTGAAGAGAGCAGCAGCTGCATTCTAAGAACTTAATCACCAAGCACATTAAATAACAATGACTCAATTTGATTGCCAGTAGTTACCTGGTTCTTGTAAAAAGATTTTGCTGCATTGGTGGTGTTATTTCCAGCTGGTTACATAATGCTGAACTATTTCTGCTCAACAGTTATATTGGAGTATGATCCAAAAAGTGCAACTATGAAAGGTAACTAAGAATTTCTAATCTGGTTTTGTTTACACTTGCCCAGTATGAAAATTATGCAGATACTCGTTAAGACAGTTTGACAGTCTCTGAAATCTATTTTCGAAAGCGGCTCTTTACATTGGCTGGGAGGGGCTGTTAGGGGAGGGTGGGGGCTGAGTTGGGATGAGTATTCGCAGTAACTTGTGGTTTGACTTGCAAAGTAGTTGAGGCCTGTGCGTGCGGCCGGCAGAAGAGGTCTGGAAATGAGACGTTGGGGCTGTTGCATGGCCCCTGTCACCCATATCCATGAATAAGTGATTAAGAATGTTGGGAGCCCTGAGAAGGTGTCAGGATCAGGTTTGTTTGCACTGTTTCCTCTTTCTTTCAGCTTTGCCCTGGGTTTATTCAGGGACAGGGATGCTGCTCAACTAGTTTATTGTATCACCCACAAGCTGAAGTACAGAGAGATGACTTTTGAGTCTCCCTTCTAAGAACTTCCTGATGTCAGCAGAACAGCTCCTGCCATATTTCTCTGAAATTCTTTTTTTTAAGGATTTTTCCTGGTATGGCACAGGTTCCTCGTGAATTGAGTTATGATTTGAAATTGTTTATTTTAGTGGTATTTATTTTAAGGAGATCAGAAATCAAACATTCTTTCATTTATTCATTTTATTCTGTGAGACACAGACAAAGACTTTTTTCTCATCTTTACAATGAGTGTCAATCGTATCTAAAACAAAATCACACCCTTTGAAATTCATGGTGTGGGCAAAAACAGTTGAAAGGTTAGTACAGAATGACATAAGGTGTGGGTAAATGATGATAAATTTGAATTTTTGCCTGAACTATCCCTTTTAGATAAGCACTATTTTTAAATTGGCAATTTACCTCTATTCATCTGGAACCTGTGCCATTGAAAACACGTATTGTCAAACCCAATCTCCAGCCTGTTCTCTACCTTGACTTATTCAAATTATCTGCAATAAAACAATGAGATAGAATGCACCTGTTAGTCAAGTGGGTAGGAGTTGTATCAAAGCTTCCCCTACAGATGCCCATCATTTTGCTAAAAAGTAAAGGGAGAAACCATGGGCATTACCATCAAACTTTAACAAGTCAAGACATGGTCCAGTGGGGGACTATTATTGGAATGGCTTCACTGAAGTGTGCTATATAGAAATGTGTAGTGCATATGTGCCCTAGATTATGCCAATTTCATCATATTCTGACACTGAACTTCTTTACTGTTTGTGCTAGAGTCAGATGGCATGTAAAGACAGTTCACATAAGGTGAGCCTGAATGTTACCCACATTAATAACACAAGCAAGACAAGTAGTTCTTGTCTTGGGTTGGATTTGCGGCTGAGTTTTACCTTCCCACTACTCTAGTGCTACACCGATAGTGACCTGACTTAGTGCCAGATCTCTAGGTGTGGAGGAAGGCAGTTTTATGAGAGCGTGAGAGAGAGCAAGCAGCCAGGTTGAGCAGGTCTTGCATACATACCAAGGGGCTTGATCTGAAGGAATGTCATTTGAATGCGTTGCTCTTATTGGGCATAATCCTCAGTGGCCTCACCCCCTGCTGGGTCACTTTGGCAGATGGAGGGGCGGGGGGTAGTTAGGCTGTTTTGCTTTCACGTGTGAGCGTGTGTTTTCCAATGGACAAATCCAGGAAGGTTGCCTTTCAGAGCCCCCCTCCCTCTACCCTCGCCTGTACTGCGGTCGATCATTTTAATCTCCCCCCACACGTGATCAAGGGGACAGGCCTTTCCTGAAACTTGGCACACAGTGCAGGGTGGGGTAACCGGCTCAGACCGGATTGACAACCTCCCTATTTAATACTGTTCCCTTGCAGCCCTGCGTGTGTCCTCCTACTCTTCCTCCTCTAGTGGGTTTTTTCCACTCAAGCCTTTAGCCGGCAAGCCCCTGCCCCCTTCCCCAGAAGCCAACTGACACGCAATTCAGTGCACATGGTGCCCAGGCCTATACTATGTGCCATGCTCTCCCCCAGCAAAGCGGCACGATACAGATTCTCTTTTCCCATTGCCATTATGACAGCAGGCTTGCCACCCTCTGACATGCTGCTACATTTGAATTCAGTTAACACCCTGAACTGATTGCTGTAAACTAGAAGACTGATTAGAATGCATTTCAAGACATGGTAAATTCTCAACCGATTCTTAACAACATTATAAGAGATGTTGTACATAACTGATAAATTATTTGATTCTTATAAAGACTACTTTAAAGCAACATTTTTGCACCATAAGTACAGGGCATATAAAAAAGATTAGGCAAATGTTTTTAATAGTGAAAAAGAAACTGAGAAGGGGAACTGAGCTATAAGTTTTATATATATTCATTATCATATACAAAACCGATACCTTCTCATTTAAAAAAAACTGCACCAATTCTCCCTGGACTTTTAAAAGAAGTGTTTCAACCAGGTTGTTGACAGAATGGCCTTTTATATCTTGAGGCTTCCAATTGTGGTTTGGATATTCTTGACCAGTGGTCTTTTGTATAGTAGCAACCATTTGGCCACTATCTATGAGCCTCTCTGCTTCATTTGCATACAAGGCTTGGAAAGCCTACCCTGGATGTTAATAGAGTGCAGAGAGAAGGAACAGCATAAATATGGTCCAAACACTGTTAGTGTCTTAAGCTGCAGCGTGAGTTGGTCAGCTTGAACTTCCAAAACAATTTTTTTCAGTAATCTTTTAAGATCTGGAGATTTAGAGTGTTTGAAAATACTTTTAAAATTTTTTCGCCTCTCTGTTGTAGTTTTATGTAAAATACTTTTCCATAATTTAGTAAATAACAGTTGTTTTAATATCTGCCAGTCACTTTGATTAACTGTTACTCAACATTCACAGACAGGCAGACGGACAGACGGCAGGACGGACGGACGGGTGGCGGCTGCGATTGGCGGCTCGGCGGCAGGCTGGTGGAAAATGTCGTCGGGAGCAGGTGGGCGGGGAAGACGTGAGGGGAGGGCCTGTGGGGGTGCAGGCGAGGTAGAGGAAGGACCAGTGGGCATCCCCTTCCCCGAGCACAGTGCTGATCTGCTGGGCAATCTCAACCGGCAACGGCTAAGCGGGATGCTGTGTGATGTACTGCTAGTTGCCCAAGAGAGAGAATTCCCTGCCCACCGCTCCGTGTTGGCCTCCTGCAGTACCTACTTCCATAAGCTTTTCACCTCTGGCCTGGCTGCTGACCGCCAGAAAGTCTATGCGCTGGACTTTGTGCGGCCTGAGGCGCTGGCCGCCCTCTTGGACTTTGCATACACAGCCACACTCACAGTCAGCCGCAACAGTGTGGTCGACATCCTAAGCGCTGCCCGTGTGCTGGAGATCTCACCCGTCCAAGATGTCTGCACACACCTGCTGGACACCAAAGTGCTCTCCCCGCCGGTGGGTGACCGGTGTTTTTTTTTTTTTTTTTTTTTACAATTCGACTGGTTAATGTTTTGGAGCAGTATGATGATGTAGTTCCATTTCTTTTTGCAGGCGGGCAGTGAGCAAGATGAAGAAGAGGAAAAAGAGGAGCGAGGAAAGAATGGAAAAGAGCAGGGCATCCGGCTGCGTGCCCGTGAGTACTTGGAGTTCTTCCAGAGGGGGGCGCATTGGGGTAGCAGCTGCAGCACGCCCGAGCTCAGGGACCTTCCAGCACACCTGCACTTTAGCCAACGCAATGGCGCTGACAGCAATGGCACGCCCATCGGCCTTGCTGACTACTACTCCCCACTGGCCCAGGCCCTATCACAACAGCCTCGTGACCCTGAAGATGATAACGTGGATGAGGAGTGCCAGGATGTAGCTTCAGCTCTGGCTCGAGGGAAAGGTGCAGAGGCTCTGATACCCTTTTATGCTCCCACTCAGAATGGACATTACTACCTCCATCAGGAAGAGCTTAAATCAGAGAGGGAGGTGACAGGTGAGCGGGAGCACGAACAAGGCCCTGCTAGTGCTTTGCTACAACAGATGATGGACTCCTTGGAGCAGAAAAGGGAACAGGCCACGACAGGTGGAGGGGGTGAGGAGGATGGGCCTGAGGGCGAAGAGCAAGACGTGGAATTTTACTTGAAGTACTTTAATAGTGCACCGCATGAGGAGGCCACCACTCCCTCCATGTCTCCAAGTCTGCTACCACTGTGGTCAGTGAGGGGCAACGGAGGTGGAAACCAAGCGACTGGAGGGGGTAACAGCGGTGAAAGGAAGATGCGCTCTAAAGCCTTCCAGAAGTGCCCCATCTGTTCCAAGGTCATCCAAGGTGCAGGCAAGCTTCCACGCCACATTCGTACACATACAGGAGAAAAGCCCTATGAATGCACCATCTGCAAAGTGCGATTTACCAGGTATGTCAGCTTTGTTTTTTATCTTATGGAAAATTGAGCTTGGTTTGTATTTTTACATACACTTTAGCATATTGTGTGCTATCAAATGTAAATGGTAAGGTATTCATACACTAACACAGTCAGCCATAAAGTTGTGTTTTATGTTGACAGAAAGGTTGCATGACAAAGTCCTGGAATTTTAACAAGGGGGTCCAATAAAAATGGGTTGTGGTAGCACAACCTGGTCTACTGTGTTATCAGGGATGAGGCCGTTATAAAACTCTCCATGCCGATATTGAAAGGGATTACAGCACAATCTATCTACGCCAGTGAGTCAGCTGAACTTGTGACCCTGGGTGTTATGTTGATTATTGCCCCTGGCATATACAGCCCCTCTTTCAGACAAATGGCTGATGAAAAATATAGTGTGGTACAAGACTGAATCTCATTTAGAAAGCTGCTAGCATGGCTTACCCTGCACTTAAGGGCATCACCTCTTCCATGAAACCATCGCCTTAATGAATTAATCAGAAGACATGCATTGGAAATAGACACTGCAACAAAAATATCCAGTACCCTATTTGCGTAGGGATGGATCTAAGTTTGCCACCTAAATACTCCACCTATTGGAAAGGGGTACTGTAATATTAATCCCATTTTATCAGGGTTAAGAGTGGACTTCACTCACACTGCAATAAATCAATCCTAACTTCTAAATAATTAATCTGTCTGTGCCCCACTCTGTTACACTGTGTGTGAACATGTTTCCTCACAAGCTGTATGTATATATTACCCACCTTATGGAGAATGTATGCGAAAAGTGAAGGAAAGGTCAGAACATTAAACATCTAAACACACAGGCATCAGTGTGCACATGTCTGTGTTTACATACTCGGGTGTGTGTCCTATCCATGGAAGAGTGCGAGTGCGTTTGTGTGTTCGGTAAGCCACCAATGTTCTGGATGGGTCAACCACCCTAGTTTGTTTAGCTGTACTCTGCCCTGGTCACAAGCTTAGGGGAAGGGACTGAGAGGGGTAAGCTGAGAGCAGTCTTACAACAGAAGGCTTTGTATTTCACACCACACTATAGCTTCCTTATTGGTGCAAAACAATATACTTTGACAGTATGTGGTCTCTTGTTGAAAAGAACCAACTCTTTAGTCATTCGGACCAGTTTGCTTTGGGTGGGGAATCAAAAGTCAGAAATGTGTAAGAGATGACCAAAATGAAAATGTTTTGCTTGGATTAATATTTAAAAAATATAAAAATATCCAACAATAATATATTTTATATTGTTTTTATTGTGTTTTTAAATGGTTGGAGGACACTTGAGGAAAGACATTAAAGTTTAAACCACATTCTTCCAAACCGGTTTCTCAACCCAGCCCACCTTTTCAGTCTAACATAGTTTTTTTTCCCATAAACTAAAAGCTCTCTTCAGCCGCCTTTTGAAGTTTTCAGATTTTGCTTGTAAAACACACAATTGTGCTCCAACACATTCACCATTTTGAAATGGCTCTTTTGGGAAACTCTGGGCCCACAATGACTCTGAACTGAACATTGAGCCCTTCAGTGCCTCATTGGCCTAAAAAGAAATTATGGCGATAAAGCTGTGAGCTTTATGACTCTTTACCTCATTTGACCTTGAGTGCCTTCAGCAAAAAAGAATGATAAATAAACTTGACTTTACTCTTGAAAGTGAAGATAAGGAGGTCAGATTCTTTTAGAGGATATTTGTTGTCTTTGATGTTGCTAAAACAAACAGATTTATATATTTACCTCCTTAGATGTTTGCTTTTATGTAGTTTGTATTATGTGTGCCTATTTGCCTTTTCTAATGATCTATGTGGCTAACCTTACCGGCATGTCTTGTCATCAAGTTGTAGTTAGTGACTCACCCCAATATCATCAATGGGTTTTCTGGGACATCAAGTCATGTGGGAGTGGGCATTTTAAGGACATTAAAGCGTATTGTATATCATTTTATTGTTTTGTTAATTTTCAAACCTTAAATTACTGTTGAGTATGTCATTGTTAATTTGCTTAATTCACACAAACCCATGGGTAGTGGCTCATTTGAAGTTTTTGTATGGTTTTTTCCAGGCAGGACAAGCTAAAGGTTCACATGCGCAAGCATACAGGAGAGAAGCCTTACCTGTGTACTCAGTGTGGCGCCGCCTTTGCCCACAACTACGACCTGAAGAATCACATGCGTGTGCATACAGGCTTGCGCCCCTACCAGTGCTCCAGCTGTTTTAAAACCTTTGTGCGCTCAGACCACCTCCACCGTCATCTCAAGAAGGACGGCTGCAACGGCATCCCTTCCCGTCGAGGCCGCAAGCCACGCATACGAGATTCTGAGCTCCTAGATGGTCCTTTGGAACTTCATGGTCCAGACGCAGACAACGATATAGGTCGACGACATCCGGACAGGGGCACAGGAACATCAGTCATGGAGGAAAATCACGGTAGTCACACGCAGAGCCCGGTTGCCGATGGGGAAGGTAGTAAAGATTTGACCTCGGGACAAAGGGACTCTGCGACTACGTGAATCCATCTTTGTCAGAGAGGGCTTTACTCAAAAATGAGAGGAAGAATGAAAAAAAAAATAAGAAACTTTAAACTACATGGTCCTCTAAAAAAAACAAATCAGGGTGTCACAAATCTAATCTTCTGGTTTCTTTTTCCTCCTTTTTTTCTGCATTCCGCATAGAGACTTAACCACCAAGTTACTGGTCTGTTAGAAGAGCGAAGAGCACTTCAAATCACTCACCCATGCTGTCACCATCTTTCTGGGTCTTTTTGTTGGTGTTTTTGTAACATAATGGCATAGCCATGCGAGTACGAGAAAAAGCTACTATGCAGTTTAAACAAGTTCCTCATCTCTGGGTTGCATCAACAGGGCCTTGTCTTAAAAAGTAAGGTGTCAAACACCGGGGCTGGCTGCTGCTTCAACAGTTTAGCTATGAATGGTCTAAGATGTGATCAGGGCAACCAATAGATTTCTTTTTCTAATGCAATGAGCAAAATGTACATACACTCTACAAAAATTATATTGTCTCAGATTGCAATATATGCAATATTCTGATGCAGCACCTTTTTTCTAAATGTTCCAGAAAGAATCGGACAGGGGTTTGATTTAAAGTGTTACTTTCTCTATAAAATATGTTTGTTTTTTTTTTTATTAGGTTATCTTTTCATGGTTTAACAGGTTACCTTTTTGAGTTGGATACACATGGGGAGATCTCATTAATTTGTTTCTGGCAGGGAGAGGGTAAGACAAGGGATGAGGTCCTGTGTTTCTAAAACACTACCTTCATCTGATTGCCAATAGGCACAATCATCATGTTAAATCTTACTTCTCACAGGCCTGCTTTTCCTTTTTGGCAGTCTTACTTGCATTATATTCTTTCTTATTTTGGGATTGTCTTAATATTTTGTCATTTGATTTCTTTTTGACCTTTGAGTTGACTATTTTGGGTACTTGACACTTTACATTTGTATACGTGTGTGTGTGTGTATATATTAGGTTGTAATCTTATGAGACCCTTTACAAGAGGTATATTGCAGATAGATAGGGTTACATTTTTCTTAAGCTTCACTCCAGGTTTCTCACTGCTTTAAGTTTGCAGGGGGGAATATGCTGTTTGATGTTGTAGAGCATTATAATTGAGAAACCCATTTTGTTTTCCGAAGCTGCACTTAATGGAACCCAGAAGTTTCTTCCCAAAGTATCAATTGTGATAAATGTGCTTCGTTTTGAGTCTTTCTGCAAGAGAGTGAAACCGTATGCAAACGATTGAGTGAGGGCACCACTGTTATGCAAATGGCTAGTGGACAACTTAAGCAGGGAATCTTTTATTTGTTTGTTTGTTTCAGCGAAAGAATGAGAGTTGAGCACCTTTTTTATGCATTTGCACAGCTTTACTAAAGATATCCAACAGAGATAGAGAAATACCTATTTAAGGAGGCAGTTTGGTTTAGGGAGATACAAAGTGCTTATTCAATTTCTTTGCCCAAGGGACCACAGAAACAAAAACCTGAAACAACCTGAGCGATAAGGTGAGCAATAAATTAATGTCCAAGTCCAAATAAGAGCACAGCTGTAGCTGAGTAAGATGGTGGGTCCAGTTTTTATTATTTCAAACGTGAACATTATCAATTAATGCAATGTATATAGTTAAAAAACTAGAGCATTTAACACTTTTTTACAATGCAAGTGATTGGCCTAAGTTTTGAAAGAAAGTGTCCTAAATCTGAGACCTTTATTATAAAGTAATATGTGCTTGTTTTACATTGGTGAGAGCGGGTGCAGCACCGTCATATGGCCACATCAGAGCAGGATGAATCATTGAGAGGGGCCTAGAGCGTCAGCAGGCACTTTGTGGGCACGTTGAGACGGGCTCCCCCAAAAATCCAGCAGAGTGGGTTATTTGGTTGAGTTTAAATAAGGCATGTATAAGGGCAAGACTTGACTAAGGCGGAGTCTTTTATAGATTATGGCAGATTTGAAAGAAACTTTCCAGAAGCATGCATCCTAACAGCAGTTTGTATACAATGAGATCCACTTGAAAGATATAGCAAGGATGTCTGTGGTTACAGCCATGGATGCACAGTTTTGTTCTGGTGTGAATTAGAGGATATAATTTTGTGGCATCATTCCTTCTGCAGTGCTGTATCATGTTTATCTGCCTTTTGCACCTTAATAAGAAAGAAGCAAGATTTGAATGCACTTTGTTACTGAGAAGGGCACTTTTTAGTCAAAAGAAACGGGTACTTGCAAACAAAAGAGCAAATGTGCTAAAAATAAAAAGGCCCATCCAAGTGGGAATACTTGGCTTTTTTTTATTATTATAGTAATTATTATTATTTTGGCTTGAACGTATGTGTTGCTTTTAAGTCTTGACACCGAGCTGCCAAAAAAGTGCACAGTCACTCAAGAGAAAGGACAGGGTGATTTTGTGTTGAAATTTTTGATTGATATGACGTTAACATAACAGAGTAACAAGATAATAATGGATATATATATATATATATATATATATATATATATATATATATATATAATTAATTGCACTTGAAGTTAATTAAAAAAGTTCTCTATTTTGTCTTAATACAGAGGAGTGTAAAGATGTGGCAGCATCTGCAGGGATTTATGACGATGATCTATAACTACATACTCCATTTAAACCATTCAGTTTCTTTCAATGCATTGCAATATGCTAAATCACGCTGGTCAAGTGTCGTGATCACTTTAAATTCATTGTTGAAGGCCACACCCTAAGCATCACACTACTGTAAGTTACGAAGTACGTTTTTGTGTGACTGGACGCCATGGCAGAATTAATCCTTCTGGAAATTCCAGTGCGTGAGCTTGTTTTCACACCCCAAAACACCCAGTTAATAATACATCACATGCCTGTAAGGGTTTGTGTGGTAACACATTGACCTAGACCATCTCTTATCAACCGTTTCGCTCATTGCTTTTGATCCTCCAATATGAAGTTCACAGTAGCTTTTAGATTTGTTTTCGGGTTGTTTTTTTTTACCCATGTCACCACCACCCAAATCTATCCTCCCTTGTTGCAGAAGTTGGAGTGGAATTGTTGTGGAAAAGGCCTACTTGAGTTCCCTTTCTGTCTATTTTTTTCTGTAATTATTGAGTGTGAAAATTTAAAACTTGCTATGCTTTTTTATTGTAAAATGTGTTGCGGCTTGTTTGTATTTCTAGCGAAGATAATGTTAGTTGTGTTTGTGGGGTTTAGGGTTAAATGGGTGGTTAGGTGGGTGGGAGGGGAAGGGAGGTACAAAGCCTGATAGCACTGGAAATGGTGCTTTAGCTGAGAAAGAGTTTTTGCACTAAAAGTCACTAATGTCCTTGTCCTTGGAGGAGGAGGACTGGGGAACCGGCAAAAGGCAAGGCCTTTGAGTTTCTTTGGAGACAGAGTCTGTTTAATCTCCACTTCCCTATGCTTGCATCTGCAATTAACTCTTTGTAAACCAAAGTAGGGAAAGACTAGGATGACAATTCTTAAGACGATTCTTAGCCATTAAAAGAGGTGAATCTTACATAAACGTGTAAACAAAACCATTTCCTAGATGACTGTAGGTCAAGAGTCCAAAGCAACTCCAACAGAAATAAGCAGCTTGAGGAAAGACACAGTATTCATGGAATGGCTTATTTCCAATGGTTAACAGGATCAAACCCTAAGCATCTGTGTCTACGTAGCAGTTTGGTGGAGTTATTAGAGGTCTTTGTGAGTTCACAAAGACTCATTGGCTTGATCTGGAGGGGGGTGTAAGCCTTGTTCAGAGGGTCCTAAAGGAGTCAGGGGTAGTGTATTGAAGCTTGACAAGTGGAGAAAGATTGCAGAGAGAATGTGCCTTAACTTAAAAGAAGATTGGGAGGATTCTTCAAAAGATGGCTTCCATTCCAGCTTCCAAAATGATTCTTGAATATTTGTCGGTTGACATCAATGTTTTATTGTGGACATTTCTAAGAACCAAAAGGTTGTTTGTCCAGAGATTGTCCAATACACCTCAACTTGTAAATACAATGAGTTAAAATTGTCTCCTGGGAAAAAGTTGATTGCAGTAAGGAGATTCTGTCATCTTTACTTCCATTTAGCACTGTTTCTTGCTTCTGCCCCAATCGTGACTCCACTGACAGACACTAGCCTATAGTGAGAAAGTGTCTAAAAAAAACACACACATTTCCATGACTTTAGAAGAACCATGTTATATCCAAATCTTTATCTATTTTGTGTCTTTTATCGGTTTAATTTATTGGACAGGATGTCAGAAAAGCATTAAAGATTACAATGACAGCGATAACCGTAATAATCATGGAGGATAATCTTATTACAATTTTAGATGTTCTGGCTGGGTCAAAGCACAACTAGCTGAGGATGACATAATGTACGGCTTGATTTGCACAGTTGTTCTCACCTGATCCGCTGCTGTTTGATGCCCAGAGGAGAGGGCGTGTTGCACAAGGAGCGGCTCATGGGCGGTGGGTACTAGTTTGCACAGATCGGGGAGGGTGGGTAGCATTTTTGTGCAGGTCGGGCAGGGGAACTGTGTCTTATAAGGGGGCTTTGGAGAGCCTAGTCAGGTATTGCTGTGCCATTCTGTGTACCTAAGGAATTTATAGCCATCTACGTCTTTGACTGCCTCAGCTGGTTATGTTTTACTGATCAAGGAGATGTTCTGGAGAGCAGATGTCAGAGGTTGTGGTGGGAGGAGGGGGGTTTGGGATTATGGTCCATTGTCTATGCTTCTCAGGTTAAATAAATACAGCAGTCCATTTTGTTTGGTTTAAGCTCAAATTTTGCCTTCTGTGTAATCAAAGCTTTATTGTACTGAGAGTACACCAACCGAATATATATGAGTTTTGAAGATGATATCAAAAAGCCAACTACCCATGTGACCACAACTACACCCTCATTTTTGTCTTGCCTAATAACTGTATGTTCTTTTCTAGTGTAAAAAACAATGGCAAAAAGTCTTTTTTGAAACGTCCTAATATTTTAGAAAAAGTATATTGTCTCAGAATAAGGCCAAGACAGCAGGGAATTTTGGGATGGAGACATCAAATCTGAGGTCTCCAACAAGTCAAGGATGCATTCCATAAGTTTCTCTTAATAATTGTTAGAACGAACAGATGCAGGTAGATGGAAAAGAGGTGGTTTTTAAGTCTTAAATGACTTTTTAAAAAGTTTGTTTCTCTGTTCCTCTACCCAGAATGTGCAGGGAAAAGGACCGTGTTAGGCTTCAAAAAGCCATCAAGATGATAGCAGTTCTGTGATTGTAACAAAAAAGCACTTTGCGAAAGGCCATCCAGAATATTGTGTGCTGTCTCCTTTGATTATTACTGTTGTTGTTATTGTTTTTTTTCCATCTTGTTGTTTTTTAATCTCATTGTGGATGTAATGATTTATTTAAATGCAAAAACTACATGAAAAGAAAAGAAACTTGAATATGCGATATATTTGGGTTGAAGAACTGCCGCCCCGTACCACACACATCTCTGGAGATACACACAAAACAAAGAATGTTCAACAAACGGCATATGTTCAAGTTGTTGTACATGTTTTCTTTTAACAATTTTGCACCTATAAACTTAACTCATCACAAAGGACTTTACATTTGCTTAAAGGACATTTCTTCCTGGGTTTCCATTGTCCTGCAAGATGCTTAATAGACAAATACAGAATTTCTAAGATAATAGATGTAGATTATTGGTATTGTTGGGGCGTAACTATCCCTGACAATGTCCATTAAAAGGCTGCAAATACTCAACTTGCAATCCACCCTGTCCTAGGCAGTCAGGTTTGGACCATTATAGTTATACATAAACTTTCCTGCATATGGACAACATGTGATATTTCTTAATTGCATTCCTTCTATGTTGTTAGATGGAAAAATATATTTTCCACAATGTTTTTGCATAAAGTTTAAGAGTTTATAAGGGACTCCTATACTATATTCCAAGCTAACATCTCTTGTATGTTTCACATTTCTCGTATCAAATCTGTACGTAATTCATCATGTGGGTAATCAGCCGTACAGACGCAAGCTCTGCACAGGAAACAATATTAATTTTCATGCTTTGGGGGCACTTATGTTGACTGTGGGGCGGCAGAAAAATTCCCAGTGTCTCAGGCTTGGACTGCAGAAACCCTTTTTTTTTAATTCAAATCCTGTTCCTTTCCATTGTCTGTCAGTGTGTGTTGAAGCTATTGAGATGTACAGGAGAATTTTGGGAGAATTTGCACTTTTGGCGATGAAAAGAATTTGTATTGTATATGAGACCACTAAATCTACATCGTCTAAATCAAACAATTCCATGTTGTTTTCCCTTTTCATTTTATTCTATTTTTTTTTCTTTTGTTTAATTTTTACAAAATATATCCAAAAATGTCTGACGTTTAAGAAATAAGACATTTCTATTAAAAACAGAATGTTTACGATCTCCCTGTCTTTGTGTATGCTATAATTGAAAAAAAATGTACAAGTGTGTAATACAGGCATTAAAACCTGCTGATTTAAGATAATCTCCCAAACTGGGGGTTAAGCACAAGGAGGCCAGCTGAAAAGTGGCCCAACCCCCTCTAAAACCAACCAAGAGACCAGCCTTGAAAGGCTCAGAGACCAATTTAGGTTGGAGAGTGTAAGGTGTTTGCACTTTCAGAGTAAACTAAATTGTTCTTCTTCTTCCTTATATCTAGAATGTTTACTTATGCACCACTGGCCTTGATCTTAATACTGACACCTATCGGCGTGGATGCAACATTACACAAAACTAAAGTTTTCTGTTTATGCTGAGTAAAAACTTTCTTTTCAGATGAGTCTCCATCATTTGAAATATACATGTAGGCATTGAGCATAGTTTCTCACCAGAACTTGGTAACTTGTTTATAGAACTCAAAATACTGTAGGCTACAAAAGAAATACACTTGCAATCGAGTTGCTGTATACTGAATACAGAGTGGCTACTGCCGAATCATAGTCATGTAAGCTAATAGCTGGATTAAAGTTGGCATTACCTGGTAGACCATCTTGGTCCAGCAACCTATGAGCTAATCCGACAAGCTTAAGATGTCCGGCTAGTTTTTAGAAGATGGTAGTCAAGATGGTCAACTAGCTAATAACCGCTTAATTATCAACTCAAATGATCGACCAGATAGGCCATGATAGCGCCAAAATACAGCTACCAGTTCAAGAATGTGTCCAACATGATTTGTGTGTCAGTTATTAATTATTTCTATCCGTTTAGTCAGTTGAATGCGC